CACACGTGGTTATCTTATGTGCCTCTTCAGCGATTTGCTTCCGCTTCCGACTTCGCATAGTCTTCGCACTCCACACTTCCTCTGGGAATGTACTAGAGACCTCTCTTCAGCATCGCGCTCGTTCTCTCTATATTCTACTAACAGCAAAAAATCTAGCAATCACTGTAGGCACCATCTCCACTCAAGGGGCTGCACGATACAAGCGACTCCATAAGCAGATTAGCTGGAATGAGGACTCGCAAGGATGTTTTCTGGATTCAGCTCAGGATGAGGATCATACGTCAGCGAAGAACTCTGTGCTGGGCTGACGTCTGTGCCATTCCCCGAAGGCCGGCCAGGGCTTTGTGTGATCCTGATCCTCTTGTTCACTGCGTCGTTCTCAGCATCTGATCTCACCGGCCTCTTTTCCAGCGCAGCCGTGGGCCTCATAAGCTCCTCTACCGCGAGATGGAGACTGTTGTACAGATCGACGTCAAAGCCCACACACCGTAGACTGAAGCACGGGACGCTCCACTCGCCCGTCTCGTAGCGCCGTTTCATAGTCATTTGAGCAGGTAACAACACGCTTTGATCTGGAGGCAGGCCGGCACTCACTACTTGCCGACAGTGTATCACTTTTGTCTGTTAGAAAAATAGGTATCAGCATCAAGCAAGGGCTGAGTCGAACAGACTATCTCGTTTAAATTCATCCACTCTGACAACTGCATCTCGCTTACCGGCATAAACGCGCATAGGTATTTCCCTAAGTACATCCACTACAAATCATCATTGAAATTTTATAGTAGGGCTACATATTTTGAAGTGCGCTCACCATGTTTGGTGTACTCTCGATCACCAGGTCAACCGGCGTGTTTTCCCGTACTTGTGCTGTTGGATAAAACCAGTGTCCATGCATCCCACATTCTTCTACGCAAAGGGGCATGCAGATCGGCGGACGACGAATGAAGTGGATATCGCTGAGCTCATGCACGTTCATCTTCACCTTCGATGCACATGAAGAGATACACACCTCTGCATTGACGGTCTATCGCCGCTGAGCTTTACATGACAATTCGATGCATATGAGTTGAAATACGTGGACTGAAGAGAAAGCTACAACTAAACTCCTCAATACGCACCATGAGCGACACCTTCGGACCAAGCGCGTCCAACAGTGTCTCCGGAAGCTGGACAGGCTTGATGCCCTCAAGAAACACAGGATCAATGAATGAAACAGGCGTGAATTGCCTCGACCTTGGCCCTCCTACTTTGATCAGCCTCCGCAGCCAGAGCATTACATTGACCATAGAAGTCCTCGATCTAGAGACGCGTCTCTGATGAACACCACTCAGGCATAGATGCAGAGTATCACACCTACTGTTTGAGCGCCTCGTTCTCCGCCTCCAGATCGGCGACCTTTCCGACCGTCTCTGTCCTTTCCTTCTCGAAACGCACAACTTCTTCCTGCCACTTGTCCTTTTGTTGCTGCGCCTTCACGACTGTCTTGTTCAACTCTTTTTCGTAGGCAGCCCGGACGCGACTTTCTGACTTCAATTGAGATACGAGCGTCTTCAGGCTCTTCTGCTCCTGCTGGAGCTCGTTCCTATCAGGCTGCGTAAAGAGGTGTCGCTGTTTCAGACACACAGTCACTGCCTTGTCAGAATCCCGGCATGAAGCTTCAGAAGAGAAGAATGTGATGCATATGCGAACCTTGAGCAGATCAAGCTCTTTCTTCGCATCTTGATACTTCTTTGCCCAGAACTTGACCATTTCAGGCGCGTAAGACGCGTCGATGGATATTCTGTTACGCACAGATACGGAGGCAAGTGGAGACTGATCAGATTCGTTAGTTCGGCTAGGGCCAGTATGGTCCTCCACGGTGGCCGCCATGTCAGTAATTTTGAAAACCAAAGAGTCTCAATAGGGGAAAGCAAGGAAAGAGACACAAAATGCAGATTCAACTTTGATCAACACAGTGGAGAGTGTTTGAAGGTTGAGAATCCAAATGCAACTTTTCCTTTTATGGGAGCTGTACGGCACGAAATTTAATCAGATTGCATCACAATTTCTGTCGTCTGAAACATGAAATACACCCTCGTAAATTTGTATGTGGAAGCAATTACGGTCTGGAGGCGAAGTTAGATATATCACCATGGCCGATGTCTCTACTCTCCACCCTAATTGACAATTGGCATGATGTGCCTTAGCTCGCCAACCCATTGCTCTGGTGGGTCCCATTCGATGATATCGACCTCCTGAGTTGGAGACCGCAATGCACTGCGTTGTTTGAGCACGTGGGTGAAGAGATATAGAGTGGGTATGGGTAAGGAATGGAAGCGATGCAACTGTATAACCTCAAGACTGGGGAAAGGGATACATTCACTGTATGAGTTGGCTGGCGTCTGCTCGGTAGCTGTGGAGTCTATATTTGTCTTCATAGCTGTGCAAAACAGTGGTAGAGTAGATTCGGAGAGGGAGGTGTGTTTCAAACTCTGAGCATGTCCAACTGCATCATGAAACATAGCTAGGGTCCAGCAGGGGTCTGCATCTAGGGAGAGGGTCTCAGTAACCTGTGTGAACAAAGCTCGTAAAATATCACAACTAATCAGAGGCCACGGAGATACATCGTGCAGTGTCAGAGCAATGAACACCGAGGAATAGGGCGCTGTGTAGAATTCCTAATTTTTAACCGGGTTAATAACAGGTGTTAATAATGCATTAATAACACGTTATTAACAGGCATGTATCGGACCCCTTGGTTTTTAAGGTTAATAACTAACTTCCCAAAATAGCAATATATCTCGAATTTGTTGTTATTTAGTTGAATCTCTGTTTCCAAATGATTGTCAAACTCACCCCCTTGCCCAGAGGAGGTGGTGGGGGCAGAAAAGAGGGCATACAGTGCCATTCTTGTCATCCTAGCACTGTTTTTGTTAGCAGTAGCTGACACATGACACATGAGTAAAGTATTGTTAGTTGGCTGAATTCTGGAGGCATATGAATGACTTTTGAGATTTTATGGGTAGTGCCTGAACCTAGTCCAGTTGGGGTGTATTTATTACAGAATATAGGAGCTTGAATGATGTCCAACTTGCATCATGGTAGCTTTTCTGGTTCCGCTGCAAGGGAAGGTTAGACTAAGACACCCAACTCCACAACTCCTTTCTCAAATGCTCTAGCTATCTGAGCCTAGTAGTATTACCGACACTTTTGAGTCCACCAATATCCGAAACTACTGTGTTGCCAATTAAATGTAAATATAAATATGAAAAAATCCTTTCTGTAATCTTCATACCCTGTTTCAGCTTTGAGGCCCAGAAGCAGTGAGATTGAATCAGGGGCTCAATAGATATGGATTTAAACAGTCTAGCCCCTAAAACCAGACTGTGTAAAGCACAGTCTGGGTTTTGGGAACCAAATCCGAAGTTGCACACAATTCTGTCTGATTCAATAGGCTTAAAATGTATTTTTCATGGTACCCTAATATTTTCATTAGTAGACATGGAGTACTGAAGATGTTACAGGCAAAATACAGAATTGAGGGAAAAGCTCAAAAAACCGAGTCTCCAGTCCACAATTGTCCTTGGATTTCCATTGCAAAACTAATAAAATGCTCCTACATACATTTCCTTTCAAACTATGCCATAATTATATTATTTGGATTAGGGGATCGAGAGATATGTAATTGTTTGTGATGTTGAGGGTATTCTGCAACCCAGAGACACAGTTTAGTCAGCATCGGGAAAGGGCGGCACACAATCGGGAGATTGCGGGTGTACAGTTGTCACACTGTTGTCACACCACGCACAGTCTCTCTGTTGCGCCACACAGTCCGGCCGAGACCGCACACAGTCCGGATTTTGGCGCTGGTTCAGCGCCACACAGTCCGGATTCTCGGTGACAGTCCGAGATTTGGCGGTGAATCTGCGCCACACAGTCCGGCCGTGCCGCACACAGTCCGTTGATTGTCGCGCCACACAGTCCGACTGTGTCGGGACACAGTCCGACTGTGTCGGAACACAGTCGGAGTTTTCCCTCCGACTGTGTCGGCACACAGTGCCCTCCAACGTCTCGTGATCAAGCACACCGCCACGTCGCGTCGCGTCGACCCTCCCCGCACCTTTGAACATCGAGCGCAACATGCTTCCTCAGCCGAGGTCTCCTTGCTCTTTCAGGACATTTTAGACTTCATTAGTGAGCTTTTTCTTCTTCTGAACCCTTTCTCTGCGTGCTCTCGATGACGCCAGCAGACAACAGATGCTCAGAGAAAGTGCGCACTGCTGATATCATTTTTTCTTACAGTTTGCAGCTGCAATACTCCGGGCACCCACTCCATGCTCTCTCCACACCCTCTTCCATCTCCACGGCTTTCTCTTTTCTCATCAACATCCACGACATCCGTGTCAGCGCCATTCTCTTTAAACGACTGCTCTGCGCCCATCCTGTCTCACGGCGCATGGAGCAAAGCGATTATCTTATCACGCGAGGTTGAGCACGTTGAAGAGAAGGTCGATTATACAGCCTCCACGGTCACACTCTCGAACTCTCGATCTTCTCCTTCCTAGACCCGAGGGTCGTCATCGCACAGTCGCGGTTGGCGCGCCCGCATGAGAGCCAATGTGGGCATCTGGGTTTCGCCTGTGTTGGTGGGTCTATACGAACTGTTGAGAGGTGCGGGAGCAGATGCGCGCGATGTGCGGGGCAGCGGCTCCTCTTGAAGGTGCATTCGCAGCCCCTTGTGCTGGTTATAGGTGCTGACGTGACGACATGCAAAGTGTGGTTCATTTTTGAAGGGTAGTCAGTTGATTGGGGGCGCACAGTGGTGTGGAATGATACAAATCTCATTGGCTGGTGATTTCACACGCGGCCTGCGCGCATTCACGCGCGAGCTGGTGTTTCTTCTGCCTGTTGTCACTGCTCACGCTTCTTCCAGATCCCATCCATCCGTCGTCATGGCTTCCCTTGGTGTTGGTTATCCATTTGTACACACGATCTCTTGTGAAGGTGGGCGACGACGGATTCTACTCATCCGCAGACGTTAGGCCGGAGTCTACGCCCCGTTCTCGAGGCAATGGTTGGACATTGCGTTCACGCTGTAGCCTCTGAGTAATCAACGAGCCCTCTACCTTTCCCCGCGCCTGCGGATCCTCTACAACATCCCATTTGCGATCCCCTTTGACGTTCGCGTTGCCATTCTCCGTGAATTCGTCGACAACGACAAGAGGAACCTGGTCGAGTGAGTGTGAATTGCCCGTTCGTCGAGCGTGTCCTGACCTTGCGCCGGACAGGGCCGGGATCGACAGTGGCGACGTGTTCAATGAGCCTTCCCAATTGCCGAACGGACTCTGACCGGCCCATCAAGAACGCTGCGCCGCCTGACCTCCGTAAGTCTTCGCGTTCGTACGCCATCCATCCCACCCGACGATCTGCAATTTACAGGGGCCCTTGTCTACAACTACGAGCTGGCGTCCTAGTCCGCCTTGCGCCCTATTTCTCTTCTCCTCGCACTTTCTTTCGTGTTCTCTCTCGCGTCCCCACTAGGCGACGGTCACTCACGGCCCACTTGCCGTCTCGCCATCGCCATCAGCCACACGCGCAGCCCACGCATGCAGGTGGCACCCTCTCCCCCCCGCCACCCGTCCTTCCCACGCCCCCGTTCGTCATCGCACGCTTATATTTAGCACTTCCTGCCCCGGGGCACGTACACGCAGCATGACTCGCATCACGTCCAGGTCTGTCCTCCCACACAGCCATCTGTCTCCGATAAGTAAGACACCGTCATTGACCCGCCGTCCGAAAACGTGTGTGTATGTACACATTCCTCTTTACCACACTTGTTTCACGCGCGTTCGCCTCCACGCTCCTCCAGTCGGCATCGCAAAATGATTCATTCCAGCCCGGTACAACCGTCACAGCCCGATATGAATGAACGGAACCTGCACTCAAATGTCAGTCACTTTCCCACCCAACATTGCGGATCGCTTACCCAGCGGAACAGCTGCGCCCCCGACCGCTGCAGCGCGCGCGCCGCCCGGTGCACCCCAACGGCCGCGTCAGACGACCGTGCAGCCCGGGCGCCGTCTCGGAACATGTACTTGTACACCTCCATCGCCACAACAGGTCCGTCGTTGTCCCCGATAGAATACATCGTCGCCACGATCGACCTGAACCCCGTTACCTGGAGCGCCGCCGCCAGGCTCATCGACTCGTTCCGCGCGACAGACCCCACCGCCGTGTGGCACGCGCTCAGGTATGCAAAGTCCGCCTGCGGCAGCCGCGCCTGCATCAGGGCCTCGATGTTCAGATGCCCGACGTGGCCCAGGTGAAGCGTGCTCAACAACGGCTGTTGAGCGTCGACGGTCCCGTGGCAGCAGAGGTGCACCCAGCTGTGCGTCCGCAGGTTATCTAGCACAGCGGCTGACGAGACTGCACCGTCGACGAGCGCGGTCACAGGAAGAGACGCATATTCTTGCAGAACCTCGATCTCCATCTTTGCACAAGGCAGATCACAAAACCCGGCCGTTTCACTCTTGGCCACGGCCAGGATCCTGGCAGACTTAGCTCCTGCGGACTTCCTCGCGCGGAGGAGGGCCGCGAGCGTAGGCGTGTACGACGACACGACGATGTCGGGCAAATTCAAGCACCCGTCTTCGTATGCTCCCGCCGCGTGTATGGGCATGTCTGCTGCCCCAGCCATGCACCAGAACAGACGCTCCGCGATGGGACCGAACGCGCGTAGCTCTTCGATTACGGGCTTGGCGATCGTCTTCCAGAGAAGTCGCAAGGTCTTCAAAAGCCCAGAGTCCATGGTGCGCATGGTGTCCGCAGCGGGTTTTTCCTCCAAAGACCCTGCAGCGAACGCCAACTCTTCCTGCGCGCATTCGAGCTGTCAAAAGTCTGCGTTGGGCAGAGGGACGTGGCGGATGCCATATGCAGCCGTCAACACGAGCGCGTCGCAGCGGTCTTTGCACAGGTTCACAACCACGACCGGCCCATCGCGCGCGATTCCCTCCAGGTCCGCAAATCTCGTCAATCGCATGAACTCGTCGAACCCGTCCAGCTTTCTCACTTCAGCGAGCAAGTCCTCGTATCTCTCCGCGACCTCGCGGTGGCACCGCTCCGTGCGATCAGGATCCCTGATGCTGTCGATTGTGGCAAACGTGTAGGTCATATATTGTGTGCGCATGATGCCGTCGAGTTCACCTATCGTCTCGGACAGTCGACCCGCGAGGGCAGGCGAAACCTGGTGCAACTTGTCCATCGACGGCCGAAGCCGTAGCGTCTGCTGCCAAATGACGGACCGGTCATGCTCCAGCAGCTCTATCGCATGCTCCAGCTCCCCCTCTCGAATCGCGTGTGCAGCCGCGCGGGAGCTTTCGCTCGGGCTCTTCGCGAGAATGTCGTGTCGCGCCTGCACGGACCGCCCTATATTTACCGTGCGAAGCTGTTGCTGCAGGCGCGCGTCGAACACCGACATCCGAGGCACGACGGTGTTTCGTGGCGACGGCCTCCCATATCCTAGTGTACCGCAGACAGTGTCCGCTCAGAGCAGTCGAGGTCGCTGTCTGGGCGTACATGTGCAGGCACTCATCCAAGTCATTCACGTCTCCTCGCGATTCATACCTCGCGTATACGACATCGCCCCAGGCCACCATCACGCCCGCCAACCCCGGGTGCATCTCCGGGGTCAGCGAAACTGCGAGCTCGGCCCACACCGCCGCCTCGTCGAGCGCGTCCGCGTTGGCTTCTTTTTTCGCGACCTCTAGCAGACACGCAGCAAGACCTGCAGCCCAGAAGGGGTATCGTGGGTGGCGTGTGTCCGTCTCTGCTCCCAACGCGTCTCGACAAAGGCAGATGGCTTCGACGAGATCCCCCTTGGCCTCCTGAAGCTGGTACCGTCTCTTCAACGCATCTCCAAGTCTGAAGAGCGCCTCCGCTCTGTCCGGGTGCGTCTCACGCCGTTCTTCCGCCACGCCTCTAAAGGGCGCAATTGCCGCATTCAGGTCCTCCAGCTTGCCTCCGTCCTCCCACATCACCAAGGCGCACATTCCTTTGGCTGCCACGGAGTGCATCATGTTCTGATCTTCGCCTTTGGAGGCCTCGTGGGTCGCCACAGCAGCACATGCAAGTGTCCAAGCAGCTTTCAAATCCTCCTCGTTCCCATGTACGACGAAGCGCTGTCGGAGAATCGTGCCCTGCAGTGCCAGGATCACAGCCAGCAGCGGATGGTCCGCACCACAGAGCCTCAGAGCGTCACGACCGACGCCCGCCGCCTTGTCCAGCACCTCGCCGTCCCCGGTAGCGTCATGATATGCGACGAGCGCCTTGGAGAGCCGCCAAAAGACGATCATCTGGATCATCGGGTCATGGATTCCGCTCTGTGCCAGAAACGTGCGACAGGCCCCGATGGATAGCCATACGTCCTACTGCTGTCCTAGACGCCGGAAGCGGGCCTCCAGCGACATGCTCAGCGGATTGTAAAAGGCAAATCGCTCGGGGCCCGTGACACCTGCAAGACATATCTTAAGCGCGCTCACCGACTGTTCGAGGTCCGACAAAGCGCCAAAGTGTGTGTAGCGCATATACGCAGCGTGACTAAACGCTGAAAGCGCCCTTCTCAGCGGTTCCGAGACAGGTGCAGATAGTTCAGGTCCGTATCCGAACCCGCGGAGCGCCTCTCAACAAAGCCCAACCGCTTGGTCCAGTACATCCACTCTATTCGTCGCGACTAGCGCTAATGCATGTGCAACGCACGCGTGCGCCCTCTCTTGGCTTCCATGCTCCATTGTAGCGATGTCTCCAAGCGCGAGCGCCCCGCGTCTGAATGCGTGCGCGTAGTCTTCCATCTTATGGGCGGGGTTACTGAGCATACGATGCTCGGCACGGGAAGGGTTTACCCAGAGAAGCTGTGGGAGGGCGTATCGCATCGGCTGGGCGGTAGCATCGAAGGCGAGGGATGCGGAGTAGAGACTAGAGGTGTGGGACTTATCATGAGGGTGGTCAAATGGGTGTGGTTGTTTTTTACGCGTGAGCTCGGTAAGCTTCCGCATAGTATGCCAGGAGCCCCTGATGAGGCCCCATGCGGCTTCAGTGAGCCGTGACGCTTCTTGTGAGGCATCCTCCGTCCCGATCGTTCTACATTGGCGTACAAGCTCGTTCAGGACCTTCAATCGGCTACTCACTCCGAAACCTAAGCTCGTCAGCCTCTCAGCCTCCTTGAGCGCCTCGATACGGTCCCTCGCAGATGAACCCCGCTCCCTCATCGCGGTCTCGAGCGTCATCAGTCGTTCAGGGCAGTCCACGTGCGTGGTTGGGGCAAGAGTGGTGATCCTGCAATGTAGCTTTAGCCACGTGTCGATGTCGGGCAAGGAGGAGCCGGTCTCATTCAGATGGGTCTCCATCGTGCTCAGCACCGCACAGTCCAACCCTGCCTCGCGCTGCCTCATTTCCTCTGCGAGCTGCGGCCATACATCATCAATAGAACATTCGCAAGGGAGGTGATAAGGTGTTTGTCGGCATGGGAAAGTACGAGCGCCTGTCGCATCAAAGATGCACGCTCCTCCAATGCCAACGTGAGATACCAAAGGTCCGAACACTGACACAGGGCCTCGAGGGCACGAAGGAGGTCAGCAAGGTCTTCTCCCTCGCGAACGTAATGTCGTGTGTGAAGAACATCACGATAGACGGAGACCTTCTCCAAGATGCTGAGTGAAGGAGGAGAGGCGCAAAGGAAGCCCAAAAGCTTCGCCGCGGCGAGGCGGTGGTTGAGTGAGAGGGCTGGTGAACAGTAGAAGTTCTCGCGCGTGAGCGCTGTGAATATTTCTTGTCTGCTCTTCGCGATAGCTGACATCGACTTGCCAAGGCCGCTGTCTTGGTCTCTTTGCTCCTCCAGCACTTCCAATGTGCGCCAGATCTCTCTATGACATTTGCTGTGCACTCTCAAGTCCGTCAAAGCATCGTTGCGATCGCTAGACACCCATGAAAATATATCCGTGCTCTCCAAATTCGATACGAGCTTCTGTTTGAGTTGGATTACAGCGTCGCAAGGACCGATAGATCGATTCTATGCATCATGAGGTTGTCAAAAGAATAGGCAGTATATTCAAAACATACTCACTGGGGGTGCCATTTTGATGTCCTTGTCTTGTCCGCTGTGGTCATTCGGCGTGATCTGATCCACTGTGAACAGTGCGTTATGCTCTGGTGGCCACATGACTCCCTTCCTATGAGCTACCGACTTACCTCTCTCATTGTCAGATCTCTCGATAATGTCTGCTCCCATTGTGCGCAGCTCCTCTTCCTCGCGGCGCTGCTGATTTTGCGTTACTGCAAAGAGCATCTGTAGAATTACCTATGGCATCTAAAGTGAATCGAAAGTCAGCTATCGGTAAAAGGTTGTGCATACCTGTGCGCGGAAACTGCGTCCATTGCCGTCGGGCTCGTCGTCCATAGTCTTGTAGCCGCCAAGCTGGTTAGTTTATGAGTTTACTATCCCACTCGATGTGGAATGTCCCCTCGGTCACTGAGGAGCGACTGGTCGTAGGGTGTTGGGAGGAAAATATTAACGATTGATGAGCGCCCATCGTTGGCTAGAGACACGATCAAGCTGTACAGGAAGCGCAGTCATTGTGTAGCTATGGCACTTCTTATCGTACCGCTCAAGATAATGAGAAACCGGTGGAACTTGTGAGGCTGCAAGAGGTGGAAATTATCAGCGAGAGTGCCGTGCGTGAGGGGAGTCACGTGATGTCACTTGGTCGACGCGAGTCTTTGCGCTGTCTTTGCCGCCTTTGTTTCTCATACGCTCATCGTCCTCCATGGCGGAGGAGTTATCGGCTAGGTAGAAGGCATAAACGGTGGTTTGGAGAGCATGTGGAGCATTCACCTTGATCAGAACACGGACCATGTCTTCCGAAGCAGCCCAACTGACGCCCAGTTCCTGTCCTATCCATGACTCGTCGACACTCCATCTGCGGGCGCTCACTTTGCTGTTCGCCGAGGCCACCCACGTCGACGACTGGACCATGCGGTACAAGGAGACACATGGTGCACCACATCTAGACGAGTGCGGGATTGGGCTCGACGGTGTGACGAGCGGTTCGCATGTAGGCATAGAGATAGGATCGATCCGAGCACAGAGACGGGGATGCTAGTTGATACACGGTGAGTTAGGCAGGATGCTGGAGGCCACGCGGAGGAAGTATGTACTAGCCGGACAGAGGATGCCGCAATCGTCTGTATGTATATGTGTCCTTGCCGGTCCCACGGCCTTGCCCATAGCCCTCGCATCACGTTCAGCCGTTCTTTGCCCTATGTCACCATGCATTTATTATATTCTCTGCACAACCTCTTCTCCAGTGCATTCCCCTTCCGCTTCCTCTGGCGTTCAAACATGTCTTTCCCCGTCGACCCTACCTACTTCCCTGATTGCCCACAAGGCATCAAGCGTCACGTGCTCGACTGGGCGCAGCACGTCTGTGCAGATACCATTCCCTACTACCGCCCGTACATTGCCAAAATTAAGCACTGCAAGCGGGAGGGCGGAGTCTGGCATGAGTTCCTTATCATCGAGTTTATCTACCCCATTTCAGCCAGTGCCACCCGCATCGTTCCCGTCATCGTTGAGCGTACGATCGAGACCGGCCAGATCCCCCATGAGATGATCCGGCCAGGGGTCGACCTTTCCGCTCAGACTGGCCAAATGAATGTCAGGTCCGAGCCCGCCTGGTTCCACAGCTCGTCCTACACCTCGGTCGACTCGTCCATGACCTCTTCTACCTACGCCAACATCGGATCCTCCTCGATACCCCCTATGGGGGCGCACGCGCTCGACTACATCCACGTCCCGCAAAATGGCGCGTCTATCGACAGCATTGACGAAGGAGCAGGCAGCCCGTACCAGGTCTGCCGCGAGCTCACGTTCACCTCGCGTGTGACGGATCATAACCTTGCCGCCCTGCTGGTTGCGGTGCATGAGCACTCGCCTATTTACAACGTTGTCTCACGACAATGTTACTGGTATGCGGCCGTCATCTACGACGTCTTCTGCGTCCGCCACGGTGGCAGATCAGTTGATCATGCACTCCATGGCCCTCTCCGTGCCGGGCGCTTCCTCACAATTTTCACCATCCAGCCCAAAGACCCACCGCTGGACCACATTCTGCCAGGTTACAATCACCATTTCACGAGAGTTGTGGAAAAGGTGAGGACTAATCCAAATAATGCGAGGTTACAGGCAGCGGAAGCAAGGGCGAGGAAGGAGGCAGCGGAGAGGGCACAGGCTGTTGCGGCAGCAAACGCGGCAGTAAACGCGGCGGAGGCAACGGCGAGGGAGGAGGCAGCGGCGAGGGTACAGGCTATTGCGGCAGCAAACGCGGCAGTAAACGCGGCGGAGGCAACGGCGAGGAAGGAGGCAGCGGCGAGGGTACAGGCCGACGCGAGGGCGAGGGAGGAGGCAGCGGCGAGGGTACAGGCCGATGCGAGGGCGAGGGAGGAGGCAGCGGCGAGGGTACAGGCTATTGCGGCAGCAAACGCGGCAGTACACGCGGCGGAGGCAACGGCGAGGAAGGAGGCAGCGGCGAGGGTACAGGCCGACGCGGCGAGGGTACAGGCCGACGCGGCGAGGAGGAGGGTGGAGGATGAGAATGCCTTCCTCCGACAGCAACTGGCGGCGCAGGGCTATGCTGGCCCATCCAATAGGGCAGTGTAGACTTTGTTTTGTTTCCTATATCTGTTCCGCATCTGTTTTGGTTTCAGTGCTTTCAACGCTTTCGGTGCTTCCAGTGCATGTACTCGTTCTGTATGCATAGTCTTTCTCTCATAACATGCGATGTTTTCTGCGGTCCCACATCACCGGCGATCAATTGGATGGACCTCTTCTGCCCTCAACACCACGACTGCCCGTTCTCTTCCCGCCTGTACCACACCCACACCCACACCCACACCCACACCCACACCCATACCCATGACCATCCATGGTCCCCGCGGCAGCGGCATCTGCTCCGACAACAATCCCGCGCCCACACTAGTAGTATTACCGACACTTTTGAGTCCACCGATATCCGAAACTACTGTGTTGCCAATTAAATGTAAATATAAATATGAAAAAATCCTTCCTGGAATCTTCATACCCTGCTTCAACTTTGAGGCCCAGAAGCAGTGAAATTGAATCAGGGGCTCAATAGATATGGATTTAAACAGTCTACCCCCTAAAACCAGACTGTGTGAAGCACAGTCTGGGTTTTGGGAACCAAATCCGAAGTTGCACGCAATTCTGTCTGATTCAATAGGCTTAAAATGTATTTTTCATGGTACCCTAATATTTTCATTAGTAGACATGGAGTACTGAAGATGTTACAGGCAAAATACAGAATTGAGGGAAAAGCTCAAAAAACCGAGTCTCCAGTCCACAATTGTCCTTGGATTTCCATTGCAAAACTAATAAAATGCTCCTACATACATTTCCTTTCAAACTATGCCATAATTATATTATTTGGATTAGGGGATCGAGAGATATGTAATTGTTTGTGATGTTGAGGGTATTCTGCAACCCGGAGACACAGTTTAGTCAGCATCGGGAAAGGGCGGCACACAGTCGGGAGATTGCGGGCGCACAGTCGTCACACTGTTGTCACACCACGCACAGTCTCTCTGTTGCGCCACACAGTCCGGCCGAGACCGCACACAGTCCGGATTTTGGCGCTGGTTCAGCGCCACACAGTCCGGATTCTCGGTGACATTCCGAGATTTGGCGGTGAATCTGCGCCACACAGTCCGGCCGTGCCGCACACAGTCCGATGATTGTCGCGCCACACAGTCCGACTGTTGGATCGAGCAGATGGAAGGGGTGAGTTGCTCGGGGTCAATGGGACCTTTTCTCACAAAGCGCCACGCCTTGATCAGGGTCCCTCGCTAGCGCTAGCGTTGTCCGCCACCTTGCCTTGTCCGCCGCCTGTGTTCGCTTTATCCTCTCTCAATATATATACCTCGCGAGCGCGAAGGCAGTTCCTCATTCTGAACTCACTGCCGCGCACTCGCAGCACGCGCTACGTACATCTAGTTTTTCGCCAGGCATTGCATGCCCCCGCGCCGAGACGCTAACGGACGATTCCTGCCACGTAACCGCCCCGCTTCCCCACCTCTCGACATGTCCACCTCAACCAACCCAAACCCCGAGACTCCAGTGTCCGACACCGTCACCCAAGCTCAATTCCATGGTCTCGCAACCGAGGTCTCGAGCCTGACAACAGGGATGGCCAACCTGCAGCTCCTGCTACAAACAGCCCTCCAGGCGGCCGCCAACCTTCCTCCCGAAGCGGCAGCCGCCCCGGCTCCGGCACCGGCACCATCCGCCGTGGCGCCCACAGCTGCCGACGTGCTTTCATCGCACGTCCCCGGCTTCGTGCCACCCGCATCCACCAATCCTGCCGCTGGTGCGTCCCCTTCCCTTCTCTCCCAATTCCCCTTGGTCGAGGCGGCAGTCATCACGGCCATTGTGACCCATGAATTTCGGTCCTCGGATCTCTACAAGCTGGACCCCCAGTACCGAGACAAGGCCGACCGGCGCATCCTAGCCCTCAACGGCGACACGCTGGAGCTCCAGACCGGTGACTCCTCCGCCAAGGAGTACCGGTCCCTAAACTCAGTTATCATCCCCCTTTCCACTTATTTTTCCATCTTCGGATCGGCAATTGCCCCCATGACCCCATCCATAGGATTGGTCATCTCGGGCTTCTGGGCTTACACAGCATCGCTGATGCAATTCGCCTCGGAATACAACTGGGCCGCGGTGCACGCCTACCACGCCGACTTCTTTACAGCTCGGCGACGAGAGATGCAGACGGGCGACTACAGCAAATGGGGCCGCATAGATCTGGACATCCAGACCCGCCGCTTGTTCGGCCACAACAAAGCGGCGCGCCCCAATGCTCCCGCGCCCAGTGGCACAAAGACGAGAAAGGCAGGCGGCACCGGCTATTGCATCAAGTACAATACCGGACACTGCACGACGAGCCCTTGCCCCTGGGGTCGCCCACACACATGCTCCACATGCGGCCAAGGGCACCCGGTAACCGAGCACAAGTAGGGACTCGGGCCGGCAGACGCTTACGCGCTCCGCCCAGGCCCTGCTCGTTTTCTCGCCCCCAAGTCCACCGGCCCCTCGCTCCTCAACTCGTTCCCTCCCATCCACATCCCCCCGCCTCGCCCCAACTCAGCTCCGCGCGCCAATCATCCCGCCCTCCAACCCCCGCACCGTCCGCTCGTTGCCTCGCGCCTTCACGCCCCCGCTTGGGCCCAATTTCTTTCTGAGTACCCAGACCCCTTGTTCGTAGATACAGTCATGGATATTATTAAACACGGTGCCAATGTAGGCTACCATCACGATCACGCGCGCGCGCAGTCCAGCGAAAACTTAAAATCCGCACTACTGCACCCCGATGCCATTACCGC